GAATACCCCCTCGTGTTCTGAGGGAGTGTGCTGAAGCCCTGGCCCCTGTGCTTGCTCACCTCTGCCTCAAAACCCAAACTTTTCCTTCTTCTTGGAAGTATGCCTTGGTTCAGCCCATCCTGAAGAAGGGTGACCATTCTAATCCCTCTAACTATCACCCCATTGCCCTAACTTCATCCCTCTCTTAAGATTTTCGAAACTATCTTGAACTCCCATTTTCTCTGTCACCTTGAACGCCATTCTCTTTTGTCGGATCACCAGTATGGCTTTAGCCAGGCGAGATCTACTGGTGATCTGCTCTCCTATTGCACCCATCTTTGGTCATCCTCTCTTAGGGATTATGGGGAAACTTTCGTCGTGGCCCTCGACATCTCCAAAGCATTTGACGGGGTATGGCACAAGTCTTTGCTATCTAAACTTCCGTCTTTTGGTTTCTCTCCTCCACTTTGTTTTCTCATCTCTAGCTTCCTTGAGTACCGATCCATGGCAGTTGTTGTCGAGGGATCAATCTCTTGCTCTTTCTCTACCAGTAGTGGTGTCCCACAGAGTTCTGTTCTTTCACCTACTCTATTCCTTCTTTTTATCAATTATTTACTTCACACTACAACTTATTCTATCCATTCTTACACTGATGATTCTATTCTTCTCTCTTCTTCACATTTTCCCCTTCCTCCTAACTCTCAAACTAGATCTGTTTCTAGAACTGATATCATTACTTCTATCAATGCGGATCTGTGCAGCATCTCTGAATGGGGAGGTAGAAACTTGGTTAAGTTCAATAGTAATAAAACTCAATATTTACCAATTACACTTTGTAAATTAGACGATCTCCCACCAATTACATTTCAGGACGCTATCATCCCCCCAAATTCTGAAATAAATATGTTAGGCCTCACCATTTCCTTCAATATGTCCTGGAAATAACACATCCTTAGTATAGCTAATGCTGCCTCCCGAAAGTTGGGAATGCTGTACAGATGCCTTAGCTACTTCACTCCTGAGCAGTTGCTCCAAGTATATAAGACATTCATTCGTCCTAACTATTAGATAGGGTGGAATCAAAGGTATTTCGTCTTATTAACTCTCCTCCTTTAGTCGACAGCCTCTCTTCCCTTTCTCTTCGCCGCAATGTTGCTTCACTCTCTCTCTTTTACAGGTACTTTAACGGGCAATGTTCGGTGGATTTGGCATCCTGTGTACCGCCGGCAAGGCCGTGGGCTCGTAACACACGTCTTGCCCACTGTTTCTCTGTGTATGTTGGTCACACGAGGATAACCCGTTATAGTACCTCCTTCTTTCCTCACACAGCCAAACTGTGGAATGCTCTGCCTTCTTCTGTGTTTCCATACTTATACAATCTGTCTCACTTTAAACAGCTGGTTTTTCGGCATCTTCGTGGTGTAGATTAACACAATACAGGAGAAGTCCAAAAATCCGGACTGCTTGGGGATTGGGTCGGTCCGGATTTTCGGATTTTCCGGATTCTCAGGCAGTACTTTTAAAATTCAAATTTAAGGAGAAATAAAGAAGAGATGAACAGGTACATTTTGATTGTTTATTCATTAGCAAATATAGCATGCTTCATTTATCAAAACAAGCAGTTTTAATGAAAAAGCTGTGAATTCTAGAATTTTATTCTTTGCCTTTTTTATATCATAAATTGTAGACTTTCCAATGTCGTATGTTTCCATTAGAACAGTATTGCTCACACTGTAGTGGATTCCTCCCCTACAAGCACCGAACCTTCTCGAATTCCCCAGCCTACGCCTCCAGCGCCGCCCACAGAGCGGGGGTCAACTATCTACCCACGCCTACCCCAGCCTTATAAGGCCTGACACCGCTGTGACCACCCTCTTTCTACTCAGTGCCACCAGCAAGTAACACCTCCTCCTCCGTGCGGCAGCCGCTCCCGCCAGCGACCTTGGCGTCCCTCAAGCAGCGTGCCCTCACTCTGGGCACCCTCACCACCCAGCTCTCTATACTCAACGCTTATTACCATGCTACCTACCCAGCAACAAGCTGCATTGTACATCCAATACAATATGTATACAGTGAGCACATTGAGAGTTTCCTTTCTCCATCCCATCCTGAGTGTGAACCAATATCGCATACCCCTACAAATGGTGACCCCCGGACATTCGCACTCACACAGGATGGAGGAGAAACCGATCACTCTCCCAGTCTTCAAGCAACATGGAAGACTGGCTTATCCACACAGAGGCAGCTCTCATTGGCTCTACAACTACTGTCTCTACAAAGCAAGTTAGACACCCTAGAGCAGCTCTGCTACTCTAAGCAGACAGCCGCTCCTCTTCCTGCCCCAAGCACCACGTCCTACCGACCCCAACACACCCGTCCTGCCTCAGATGCCGCTCCCTGCCCAGCAGTACCCCCTGCCGCTCCTCCTGATGCAGCCCCTGCTCCCGACGCGGCCCATGCGCCTGAGTGCGGACCCACACACCCCTCTTTTCTCCCTCAGGTACCCCCTGCTACTGTCCTGCACCCTGCTGCTGTCGTGAGCCCTGCTGCTGTCATGCACCCTGCTGCTGTCATGGACACTCTTCCTAACGCAGCCCCTGCTCCTGACCCAGGCCCACACACCCCAGCAGGCGCATCTGAGGACTCTTTACCTGTCGCGAGTGAAGCACATCTTTCATCGTCTCCACAACCCTCCTCCTCCTCCCTCTTTTCTCCCACAGATCCCGAGTATCTAGACAGAGTTGCCACCCCCTCGCGGCCGGCTCATCCACGCCCTCGCCGTTCTGCCTCACATTGGCACGCACCGCCCGTTCTGCCTCACATGTGGCACGCAACTCTGCCAACCTCCAGCCGCGCCCGGAGGGGAAGGGGAGTATTGTAGTGGATTCCTCCCCTACAAGCACCGAACCTTCTCGAATTCCCCAGCCTACGCCTCCAGCGCCGCCCACGGAGCGGGGGTCAACTATCTACCCACGCCTACCCCCGCCTTATAAGGCCTGACACCGCTGTAACCACCCTCTTTCTACTCAGTGCCACCAGCAAGCAACACCTCCTCCGCACCAGCCGTGCGGCTGCCGCTCCCGCCAGCGACCTTGGCGTCCCTCAAGCAGCATGCCCTCACTCTGGGCACCCTCACCACCCAGCTCTCTATACTCAACGCTTATTACCATGCTACCTACCCAGCAACAAGCTGCATTGTACATCCATTACAATATGTATACAGTGAGCACATTGTGAGTTTCCTTTCTCCATCCCATCCTGAGTGTGAATCAATATCGCATACCCCTACAATACCACGTTCTAGTTTCTTAATTATTTCAAGTTTGACACTCAATTTCAACGTATCTTCTTTCTCTTCACACAACGAAGTTTATCTACTTTAGGAGCCATTATTATGGGCTTGTACAGTACTCTGTAAACAGAAAGAGTAGGACTCAAAATATTGTTATATTACAATGGTATTCTATTCATACTGTGTTTGATATAATGCATTCACGGAAATGTAATATTTTTGCTGAAATGACGTACGTATTACAGTGGAAAGTGGGATAAAATCGTGACGAAAACAATGACTTTCGCTTTCTTTCGTTCAAAAGATGTTACCGTAATCACTTTTCGAATGGTTTTCAGTTAAAACACTGCTGTACTACAATAATATTCCATCCTAATTGACTTGAATAAATACTACGATACCATATTTCTGAATATTTTCATTAAAATCCATCAAAATCATTTTCCTTGTCATCGACTGTATCACCAAACAGCTTCTCCCAGTCCTCTCCTTGAACAGGGCTAGAGGGTACGTGTTTTTCGAATCGTTTTCAGATAAAAAAAACTATTACATCACACGTATATTTTACCTAAACTGCGCCTGAATGAATATATTGTATTCTCGGAAATAAATAGTAATTTTGCTGAAACGTGATGTATTTCAATGTAAAATAGGATAAAATACATGACGAAAACAAAAGACTTTACCTAAGCTTCCGATGTTCTTGAGATGTTACTCGTTTTTTAATAGTTTTCGGTTAAAATTCTGTTATATTACAATGATATTCTATTCATACTGTGCGTGATGTAATACATTCACGGAAATGTAATATTTTTGCTGAAATTATGTACGTATTACAGTGGAAAGTGGGATAAAATCGTGACGAAAACAATGACTTTCGCTTTCTTTCGTTCAAAAGATGTTACCGTAATCGCTTTTCGAATGGTTTAGTTAAAAAACTGTTGTATTACAATAATATTCCCTCCTAATTGACTTGAATAAACACTTGAATGGAAATACACAATATTTTTGTTGAAACTACCCGCGTTTCAGTGTAAAGTGTCGTAATAATTAATGGTAAACAATTTGCCTTCGGCACTCGTGTTTCAGGCACGGCGAGCCTCAGTTTATAGGACGTAGAGCGTTTTTACATAAGGTTTTGTTGTTTCATAACCCTCAAAAACGTGGGTCGAACTATAAACGAGGAATATCATAAATAACGATTTCTTGGTCAAAAAATCAGGGTCGACTGATAAACGAGGGGGGGTTATAGATGAGTATATATGGTATGTTGTCACAGTTTGATTGCTTGTTTTATAGTGGCGACCACGTCGTCGCTTGTTGTGGCTGTGCAGCTGTGGCGCTCACGCATGTGCACATACACACAAAAGCCCGCTTAAAAAAAAAAGTTTTTGAAAAGTCCGGATTCTCGGTTGGTCCCGATTTCTGGCATCCGGATTTTTGGACTTTTACTGCTATAACCTTTTTGTTCTCTATTTTCTATTTCTTTCTGCTCTTTTTTTTTCGCCCCCCAGGCCCTGTTGTGGGTCGTTTGACCTGTGCCTGGGTGGGCTAATTCCCGTAAAAAAAAAAGAAAAAAAAAATGAGCACTAATCTGTGTGAAGGGATGGAGTTATGAGAAGAGAGTGGGTTGGGAGCAATTTACTGATTATTATCATATCCTTATTTAAAAAAAAAAATGTGACCCTTACCTTTTAGTGCTATCACAGATGATAATAATAACACTTACCTGTTTGTGCTATCTTCTCCAGAGACTGAATAATTGATGAAGAGAGATCATTGTTCAGGGTCTGAGCCTCCAAACCCAAGAATACACCAGTTTCCTTGCAGATGTACACCGAGTGATCATTACGAGAGAATTTGATCCATGTCCCATTTTCCAGAGGGAGGAGAGGGACTCCTTCAAAATCATTGTAATTTTGGTCAGAGATAACATATTCAAGCAGGTATTTTAGATTCCATTCCTCCTTTAGGGATCTCTCACTTCTAAGGACATCCCGAAGCTTCTTTGGGGTAACTGTTTCTGGGGCAGCTTCTGACAAACAGAAGAAAGAAAATATTTAATCTTCAACAATTCCTAAAATGTTAACATACAGTGGAGTTGCAATAATTTGCAAAATACATATTTTCACAAACCTGTTACATGTTACTACCTTTCTTTTTAAATGCTGTGTCAATACGGCCGTCGCAATGATTAATCGAATCTCTATGTCGGTGTGCTCTGTGAGCATGTTCCCGCTCCTGCCTAGAGAGAGCTCTCACAGGATCTTCATCAGCCCAGGGTTTCCACTTGATGTTTTCCATTCTTTATAGTGTGTAAAGTAACCATTGTATGTGATAAAATTTAGTTGAAAAATCACCATAACACACAGGCAATTGTTAGCTGTGAGATATCTGCAGACGTGCCATTGTTGTATAAAAAAAAAATTGTGAGAACCTTGCCTCTCACTGCAATAGAGTTGCCTTGACACCCAGGAGAGCGAGGTAGAAGTGCATCGCCAACATGTGCATAAGTTGTTCTTGGTGCAGGAGATTGGAGTAGTGGTGATAATTTGAACTGAAAACCCACTGAAAAAATTATGGTACAACACCACCATGAATATTTTTTTTTTCACCTTTACCATGTTGATGCCCCATTCCCATAAACTTGTTCTATATAATTACTGAAAAAAACCCCACTATCTGAGGTCACCTATGTTTAACTAATTCTTGTATGTTACTCATGGTGATAACCTAAATCATATGACTAAGGTTCATGTTTTATAGGTGTTCGAGTCCAGTCATACATGAAAAGGGTGTTATCCAGTGCGACCCTACCAAACATCCCAACCTTCAGTATCTTCTTGTAACATTGGATAGACCAGTTGCTCAAGTGGCTAATAAGGTGTTATGTGTCTTGTTAGTTGAGGTTGTCTTTTATGCCAAATTGCCTAATATGCCGCCAGTGTACACAGTTAGCACTTAAAAAGATTTAATTCGCTCAGTCTAATGTTTAAGCCCACTTTACTAGTGGTCACAGCCTCTGATGAAAGAAGCCACAAGTTCAAAAAATTGCTTACATATGTACAGTAAACTCATTTCTTTAAAAATTCCCTAAATTTGTGCATAAAAGAAAAAAAAGGCCACCCAGTGCTTCACCAAAGTCATCTATGAGAGGTAATGTATGACACTGATAACCTACTTGAGCAGTGAAGATAATTAGATTTGAGAGGCAAAATACAGAGAACAGGCTCTCAAAAATTCGTTTTTTTCCACAACTTTCATCAATCTTTAAGCTTTTTTACAGTTATTAAATGCTTATTGGCTTAACGCTGTACCATCGAGTAGTAATACAAATGATACAAGTACAGTTGAACCTTTTTATTTTTAACTCGACCATTACAAACCTTGCCTACTTTGAATGCATTTCATATTCCAACACATTATCTTTATTTCAAACACTCTTCAAAGTTAGAATTATGTCATCCTGAATTGAACCTAACCAAATTCGTGCCCAAATTCCCACTCACAGGAAGTTAGTTGGCATTTAAACACACCACTGTAAACATCATTTGTCTATCATCTTTAGTCCCATTAACTTTGTTAACTAACTAGTTCAAAAACTGGAGTCTTGAACAACCATTATCACACGTTATGCATTTTTCTACTCATCACCACACTTGTCACATGCCCCTTTTTATCCTGGGCTCGCCTACCATACCCCTAGGTCTCATTACCAATCCAAGCGGTTCTCCACCAGTGCTTATTATGTTACAGTCATTTTTCAACTCGTAACTTCGGGTTGATGTACTGTACACTTATGCTCCCATATTCATGAACTCTGTATTTGCGAATTCACTTATTCACGAAAAGTTATTCGTGACACTTTATTCAAAATTCACAATTGAAATTCGGCTATCCGCAAGGCTATGAGGAACCTCTTGGTAATTTCTGAGGACAGCACTACCACCAGAAGGAATTGTTTAATTTCGTTCATTTTTTCCACATGTTCTTATCATTATAATAAGTATTTTAAAAGAGGCATGCAGAATGGAGATAGGGAGGGAGGCCAACTCTACCACCACCTGCTCAGCAGCCCATAATCCCTTCATGGCAAGACCATAATTCCATATTATTTAGGTTCATTTGGTTCTGGGTTAGTAAAACATTATTGAAAAATAATAAATTTCCCCCCAAAAAATCCCAAAAATAAAAATAAGTAGCGTTAGATGTAAAGTTTAAAGTGTCTACGGGTTTCTACCATGAAGCCGAGTGGCGAGCGCATGGAGACCAGGGGGCACGCAGTGTGGAGCCCCATTGCTAGGGAAGCAAGGCAGACTCCCAGCTGGGTTGCATTGCTAAAGCTTGCATTGAGGCAGTAAGCATTCCTGAGACTGATACGGTGTGTACAATAATTTGTATCATTTTTGCTCTTTTTATGTTTTTATTAATCATTTCTTACAACGTTTACACAGCAGACTACAGTACAGTACTGTATTGGTCAGCCATGGTTACCAAGAAACCCAACCTATCTCAAACTAAGTGTACATTTATGGACAAAATAAAAAAATCAATATTCATTCAATAATTAAGCATTTATGGACAAAATATAATAAAATCAAAATTTCTTCAATAATCAGGCATTTTAACCCTCTCATGCATCATGCCGCAAATTGTGGCACATCATTGGGTACCACTATTTGCAAGTGATGCAAATCATTTAATTCAAATTTAAAAATAAAAACAAGTAAAAAAAAAGAGATAATTGTGTCATAGATTATCTTGCAAATGAAACTTCCAGAAAGTGCCAAAGTGTGGGTGGAGTTCTGCTGTCCAACAGTTTTCTTCTGTCAGCCATGCTGGCAGGTTGTTTTTGTTCCTATATCCACTCCCACTCTCCCCAGTATAAGTTTATATAAAAATTTCAAAGCCACAGTTGGAAGGCCCATAAAATTCCACCTTTATAACTAAGATGCATTTAGTACATTTGTGAAAATATCACGAGATATGATGCTGGCAACACAAAAATTCTTTGTCTTTATTCGGAGTGAAAAAAAATATGATCTTATTCTCGTCTCATTTTTCTGTTTATGTTAAAGCCAAAACAATAACGAGGTCAGTGATGTATAAATCATGGAAAAAAAAAAAAAATAAATAAAAATAAAATTGTAAGACAAATACATATGCCCAAGAAGGAAGAAGATCCGACCTCATGCAGTGGTCCCATATGACTTTTGTCATGGTTACAAAAACTTAAAAAACTTACAGAGTGCATGAGAGGGTTAAGGACATAACTTGAGTGCCAATTGAAGAATAATGTAAAATACTTTGTTAATAGATATGTATTTTGAATTTACACAATAAAAAGTAAAAAAAATACCCACTCCTTTTGAAATACTGGTACCCCCTGTACAGTGTTGGGGCCCGTACTCAAAAAGCATACTCAAAAAGCATTTATAAAGCATACTCAAAAAGCATTTACGGGACTGTAAGGTAACAAAGAGATAAAGTCTCTGATTGGTATACCCAAGACATATATTTGGCAGTGGACTCCGTAAGTGAGCCTGTATTTGAAGCCGTAACTTACAGGACCTCCTTAGGTGCTGTAACACGCTCAACCTGGATATAGAAGTCGCTATTTCCCGATTGAAAAAAAAATTAATAATGTATTTTGTAATAATGCTTGTTAGACCTGTTGTATCATAGAATAATGAAGAAAATGTTTTGTACATCAACATACTAAAATATGATATTACAGGTTGTCTTTTTAGTTATTTTTTTTTTTTTTTTACGGTAAAAGGCTTGAGTGTTTTTATTTGTCGAGGCTTGAGTGTTTTTATTTGTCGCAGAATGGAAGAGATGACACGTTTGTCTTCTTACAAATTTTCAAGTACAGTATAGTCTGGGTTTACGCGCCTAATTAAACCCATGGAGATAATTAAACCCATGGAGATAATTAAACCCATGGAGGTCCGCGTATAGCGAAACGCGTTAGTAAAATAACAGAACATATGGGATTAATTGAAATAGAGACTGGGCCGACAGCCAGACTACCCTTTTTTTGGGCTATCGCCCACACAAAACGTACGCTGTAGTAAAAAAATATCTTAATTTTATGATGGTATGCACACACAATTAATATTTAAGAGAAATATCAATAATATTAGGTTTTTTAACACTTATGTTAGTAGAAGAGATGGCTGGGCACACGGGAATGTGGGGTTGGGGGGATGTGGGGATGTTTCCGAGGCATAGGGCAGATTATTGGCCCTCACCTGTATCTCTATCCACCATAGAGGCTAGCAGGGCCTCCTTGTCAAACCCCTCAAAGTCCATATCCTCACTATCACTGACTTGGGCTGGCTGTGGTGGGTGGTGAATCGTTGCCACAGATAGCTGCCCCCATGCCACCACCAAGAATTCAACAGCTTTCTTCACGTGAAAGTTTCCAGAACTGCTTAAACAGTTTCCAAAACTGCTTGACTCGCACTTCATGATCAGCCAAATCTTGTTGTGTTCCTCGTCCTCACTCTCGGTGCCACTCTCTAGGTCAGTGGTTCTTAACCCTTTTTGAGTCACGGACCCCTTTGAGAATCTGGTGAAAGCTATGGACCCCCTCCCTAGAAAAATGCACATAAACACAACTTTGCATGCAATGAATATACTTTATTTTATTGAAAATTCATTGCCTAATACAGTGTATGACATACACAAAGTATGAATAAAGTAAACAATCTTAACAAAGAATTATGTTTCACACTTTTTTATGCAAAAATTAATGGCCACTCCATTCAAAAATGAAATACAATCATCTTGTGCAAATTAAACAAAACAAAACTTTAATTCTGCTCAAAAGTTCATTTCAATGAGAAGGTTGTTGTTGTTTGGCTTGAATAAGAAGGTGAAATTGTGGAGTGGTCTTTGACAAAGTAACACGCATGTCATCTTTGACATCCAATCGACTTCGACTTTTCGTTTTGATAGAAACAAGTGCTGAAAACCCTGACTCACAAAGGTATGTAGTAGCAAACGGAATCAGAGCACCCATAGCGCACT